AGAAACAGAAAATTATCCAGCGGCTGATTTTTGTCAACCAACTTATTAGGGCAGACATTCCTGAAAAGTCGAAAGAGATATACGTCGAACTTATTAATATATTTAGATAATTTCTGTTCGACTTAATTATAATTGTTGACAATAAATATCAAGATTTTTAACATCTCAATAAACTAATCAAAGATCTTGATTGCACAATACTACATGAGAATAAGCAGTTTTAAAATATCAACTTGAAATTGGCTTTGCAAGTTGAATTGAATGGGTAATATATATTAATAAAATTTATGGTCTTCTTTATAACAATTTAATAATGATTTTATTTTAGCAAGCCAAGAGTTACTAGTTATCTTAATATTAATCGTATATATGAAGAGAAGTTTTTTCAAGAATTTAAGGATATCATAAAATGTCTAAAATACCTGACAAGTTCGATCTCCGGTTAATTAATTCTTTATTCCATATCGATCATATTAACATTTTTGTATACAAAAGGATATTGATAGTGTTTTTAAAATTATGGCTGAATCAAAGCAAAGATAATTAATTCTCTTATATCTTATATAAATGAATATTAAATTTATAATTTTAGCTTATTACTTATTTATTTAATTAGTAACTGTTTATGATTTTGTATAAACAAATTTAATCAAAAACATGCATCTGTGCCACTATGAAATGCAAGAAATTGATATTCAAAATTTTTTTTACAATTTGTACCAAGAACAGTTCATATAAGAATTGACTTTTTATATGAAAAAAAATTTTTTTAACAAGTTGCTGGCTCAGCAATATCTGGTTTATGGAAATTGATTTTGACTTCGCAAGTATAACCTAAAAACAAAAAACATTGATATGAAATAATACACCAAATGTTCAAATAAATATAAAAATGTTACTAATAACAAACAAACCTTTCCAAAATTTTCTTTACCCAGAACTGCAAGAAAATTAAAATCATTCAATCTGACTTTAAGAGTCTGCTTAATGATGAAAGCATTAACCGATGGAGGTGAAGGGTTTGAAGAGATACGAGAAGGCTATATTATAAGTTCATTGTAACTACCATTAACAGAAATTAAATTGACATGAAACATAATAATGTCATCATATATAAAAAAATGGCAAATGAAATGAAAAATGCTGCTGAAAAGATAAAACAAAACCTTTTATTCTTGACAATAATCTAAACACTACAGTATATAGATTTATTGGAAGATCAAGAATATCTTCTGAATAACAAAATTCCTCAAATTACTGAAGAAAATTGAAAAAACCAATATTGCTGAAAATATACATAAAGAAATTGAAGAAATCTTTAAAGAGAGATACCAAGTTGATTTAGTGGATATTATATTTCTCTTGCCAAAACAATTATAATTGAACTTTTACACATTTACATTCTATTCAGTCATATCTTCAACTAAGTATTTCTTTTTTTAAATCAAATCTAAACTGAAATCTTTAATAAAAGTAAATCATCTATAATCTTTTTTTCTTTATTACAAATAATTAGATTAAATAATTTAAAAATTAAATCATATGTTCGAAATATGCATATGACATTATAAATATATTAAAATGTTCTATATGTGTTATAGACAGTTATGTGGGGTCTATTATAATCGAAACCAACAAAAATAAAAATATTGAAATATCAAAAATCTTGGAACTTATTCCAAGCATTGTAATTCTAGTATATTGACATTTGAAAAACAGTATTTTAAAAAAAAAAAAACAGCTTATGTAATTTTCTATTAATTACAATTTTTTATTAATTATAATTTTCTATTAATTATGATTTTCTATTAATTATGATTTCCTATTAATTATAATTTCCTATTATGATTTCCTATTAATTACGATTTCCAATTAATTACGATTTCCAATTAATTACAATTTCCAATTGATTACGATTTCCAATTAATTATAACTTCTTATTAATTACGATTTTCAATTAATTACTATTTTCAATTAATTACAATTTCCAATTAATTATGATTTTCAATTAATTACAATTTCCAATTAATTATAATTTCCAATTGATTATGATTTCCAATTAATTACGATTTTCAATTGATTACGATTTCCAATTGATTATGATTTCCAATTGATTACAATTTCCAATTAATTACAATTTTCAATTGATTATGATTTCCTATTAATTACAATTTTCAATTAATTATGATTTCCTATTAATTACAATTTCTTATTTAATTATGATTTCTTATTTAATTAAAATATAGATATCATTTTATCATTAAAAATTGTATTAATATAAAAATCAAAAATCTAATTCCACCATATATATAATTGTGACACAATTTTTAATTGGCTAATAAATTTAATCTATAAAAAATTTTTTATATATTATATATTATATTTTTAATTGTTTATAATTGATATCTCTATAACTAGTAATTCAATTTAAATAAAATATATATTATTTAAAAAAAAATAAACTCTTTTTAACAATCATCAAAATCTTTAAAAATTTTCTTTTTAGGAAATTTTAGAAAAAGGTTCAAAACACTTATTCAATTTGTAAGAAATCAGAAGATATCAAGAGAAACTAATAATTAACACTTTCTCAAAACAAAACAGGTAACTTCTATTGCAAACTAACCAAACCTATCACTTCTTTCTTGATTTGTTTTACATTAGAAAAACAAAACAAATTTTACAAGGAAGAAGACAAGAAGCAAAGTAAACAATTCATAATAAGATTAGAAAAAAAGAAAACTAGTATTAACCTTACAAAGCTGTTAGTCAGTTATGTATCAGGTTATACATCTCCTTTAGTCATCAACAGAATTTTGCTCTAGTCAAATCATATCTAGTAAACCAGATAACCTAGAACACCAAAACAAAACCAAAGGGATACCAAAATTTTCTTTTCAAATCTTGAATAAAGAAGAAAAATAAAACAAAACATATATAAATCATATAACTACAGATCTCATATATCATGAAAAATTTCCACTTGTTTTAGAAAAACCCAAGACAGCTTACTTCTCCAAAGAATCAGCTGTAACACAAATACATACACATTTTAAACTTAGAAAAGCAACAAAACACAAACCAGTTGCATAAATATAAACATGTCACAGATCCTCAAAACAACATATATCAACTAGTCAACTTACTTCAAGTAAAGAAATAATCATATATGTATATAAAACCATTTTTAGACATTAGCACATGTTCAAGCACAAATACGTAAACGTTCCAAATCAAGAAAAGCAACAAAATACAAATCAGTTGCACAAACATGAACACATCTCAAATCTCTTAAAGTGATACGTGTTAATTCTTCAACCTATCTGACATAAAGAGATATCCATATGTGTATATAAAATTATTTCAAAAAGTCAATATGTGTTTAAGTATAAACAACAAAACAATCTTTACTCACATGCCAATCCAACAAGGTTAAATAACATGACAGACTCCATATTAGTCCCTATAAAAAACTTAATAATAGATTATCTCAAAACACTCAAGAACAATCACAATGAAGAAGAACAAAGATAGATATGTACTCTTATAGAAGATAGCTTGACAAACACAACTTTAGAACTGGCAGAACTAGGAACAGTTATATATACCATAATAATCAATGCTATAGTTGCAAAACTTCTAAACATCGACTTCTATATAGCAGTAAAATGGGTATTAGAAAAGAATATATCAAGTGTATTTGAATATTCAACCAACTAGACATAAGTGTTCTAAATAGATATATACTGGAAGATCCATAACAAGTAATGCAAATTGTAAATATCTTATAATTAACACAAGACCCATGATATCAACAAAGTCTAAAGCAAGAAAACATAACAGCCACAACTTACTCTAATATAGAAAACAGAAACCATAATTGCTATATGGCACAAAGTTTAATACAATATCCTAATACAGAAGTTACCAATCCAAAAGTAATCATGGAAGTTCAACCAACAATCCAAAAAATAGTTAGGGAAGAGATACATGTTTCAGAAGTAATCATGAAGGATCTTTTTTATCTGATAAAGATGACGAAACAACATCAGTCAATATATTTTTGATCAGAAAGGACATCAAAAACAAGCATAACTATGTAATCAGAAACAAACAATATTAGTTGACAAATTCATTCTACATCAGTAAAAAGGATTCTTTCAAAGCAAAAATAATGACAGCAGTTACACCTGGAAATGACAAAGCAGAACAACTCAAATACCTAACAAATATACTCAAACTCTTAAAAAAAAATCAACATTTAATTCAATCAACATTCTAAAATAGCAATGGATAGTATATTATCCATTTCAAGTATAAAAAGGATCTAAGATCCTGTATAGACAAAGTTAACCAAAAAAATAAAGAAAGTTTTTACCTGATACAAATTCAGGATCCAAACATCTATACCAAAAAAGAAAAAGTTTTGTCTAATTCAAGAAAAATAGATAACAATAAAACAAACAGTTCAAAGTTGAATTCATTCAATTTTAGAGAAAAAGGAGATAAAGTATAACTTCAAATCAAATGTAACTCTGCTCCCAAAACAAGTAGAGAAAAACAGCTTCAACAAGTTGCAAAATTACTTAAAGTTCGAGTAGAATATGAGAGCATTCAAGTTTTAGCAATAGAAAAAAGCAAGTGAATAATTTTAAGCTTTAATAATCAAACAAATGTTTTTACCTACAAACAACAACTTCAAAATGCATTTTCTTTGCAAAATATCCTTACAAATATTAATAACAATACATTAGTCTTAAAAGCCTTCTCAGAAAATTCAAATGACATCTTAATAATATTACAATTTAATATATAAAAAAAAGATCTTGATGGATATTTCAATGAATTATACAATTAAGAAAATTCACCAAGTCATCAACAAATATGGAAAGGTAGACTCAATCAAGATAATCAAGAGAAACAACAACTTCAACAGCACAATAATATCTTTTCAGACTATAAAAACTGAATTTAGCTCAATATAGTCTATATCTTTGAATATAACAATGGCAAGAATCACTTTATTTGAAGATTATCTCTCAACTTTGGAATCATGAAATAAAATAACAACAAGACTCTATGAAATTGGCAAAACAACATCTGCTACATGAATAATAAGTGCAGTCAAATATCTCAGAGCCAAGACTGTATATATCCCAATGAACAATAAAACCAAGAAAAAAAGAGGCTTCGCAATAATTGGTTTTGAGAATCAAGAGAACTTAAACAAGACTTTAATTTCATACATGGAGCTATTTGAATACAAAACATGGTGAAGCACCAAAAATAATGCCAGAACATTCAGAAAATACTTGAAAACATTGAAAGATTACTCTTACGAAAGTGACAAATTGAGTAGAAGTTAATCAGACCTGTTGATTACAAAAAGTTCCAGTTTCAAAACAAGTAACAATAAAGGAAAATATGAATTTAAACAGAAAACAGAACAATAAAATAATAAGAGAAAAAGTTTATTTTCGAAAGGTAAATACACAAAATCTTTCAAAAACACAATACAACTCGAGATATGAGGCAACATTCAAGCTATACTAGAACTAATGAATAATAGACTAGAAAAGTTGGAAAAAGAAAAAAGAAATAGGAGCAGGACTTACAATCACTTCTAAAAATATACCAGTTGAATTAATATTCACAACCAAAGAAAATAGAAACAATATATCAATAATATCTTCAAATTATTCCTTGGGTAATAATGATATGTTAACAGAACTGCCAAATACAATTACACCTACAACTTCTGAAAATCTAACAATAAATATATCCAAAAACAACATCAACACTTTCTTTAAAAAACAAAAAGAACTTTTCATTAGTAATCAACAATATATAACTTCAGCTAGACCAACAAGCCCAACCAATAATAACAATTTCTTATATATTGTAACATATAATGTCAAAGAAATTACTTAAGAAACAATCAAGAAATTTTAATCCAGGAACTAATAGAAGAGAAAATAGATATTATGGAGCTTAATTAAAGATGGATCTCTAAATTATTTGTAAGGACATAATTCAAATG